AATGTTCGCCTCCTTTTTTCCCCCCAACAGTTTTAAAATGAAATCAAATATTCATTGGCAAATATAATTGTCCAACTGTGTACTTGGCCCGGCTTGGCCTTTTAATTAAGTTGCCAGCTCCGCAAAAAGCTGGCACTCGGCATTCGCATGCATGTTGTAAATGCTCTCCATGTGATTTCCCCACTGGACCCTCTAGTGCCATGGACGCGGACGTGGACGTGGCCGAAACGGGGAAAAGTCGGGAAATGGGAAATATGGGATATGAATGGGTGGCCATAAAACCTACGTCAGAAATCGACGCAAGCGAGCGAGCGAACGAACGGTAAAAGTACAAATGATAATAATAACTGCCACATATACCAGTGCTTAACAATAAAAACCAATGGCAACAAATATTGATAAGTGCAATTTGAAATATTTGCACAACGTTTAGTGGCAAACATTGTAAATTGCATTTAGATAAAGTGATAACCAGAAACAAATCGATATGTTGCAAGAATTTCACTTGAGCTATTTATAGCTATTTAATAGAGACCTCAGCAAATTATTCCAATGAATGACTATCATAATATTTAAATGTGATTCTATACAATTAGGGCCTTATAAAGGCACTCATGTAGGTGTCGAAATTTATGAATTGGAAATAAATTAGGGGCGTAATGCTTTCGCTTAAACTGATTTAAAAGTAATTAATGATGTATGTTTTTCACGAAACTTTGATAATTGTGTCAAAAGCCATGGAAAAATATTTTTAACCCTAAATAGCTTTTATTATATATATATATATTTGTTTGATAATATTCTTCAGGCGATTTTCACACTTAAGCTAATGAGGCTATTATTGGTTCCAATTTGGCTTTGCATCTATTGGCCTATTGTCTAATGGCAAGACTTTATGGCTTTTTAATGAGCCCCAAAATGTGCGGGCCATAAATCAAAGCCTTAGATGAGGGGCGTTCTAACGGGGGTGGGGTGCTCTATGAGTTAACACATCATCCCCCACCCACACATGAGCACACATATGCAGTCGTGCTATCTATCGCATTATGGGAAAGCTTATCGGGAACTCAACATCGCCAGCATCGATGGCGAAGCTGTCTCCTGCCTAATGCCATTAAATCCTATCAATTTTCCTCACCCAGCAGCAAATTTAAATATTTATGCTGCGGCTTAGGCCGGCAACAATAACACGGAAAGGGAAAGGTTCAGAAATTGGCAATAAAAAAGTTTTTGGGGGTGGGCATAGAGGAAGGTCGCCTAAGCAAATTGAACCCAAGAGCGTCCAAGCACTTAATTGAACCTATCAATATGTAAATATGTATATAAGCACGAGTATGGGTTGTATGTAAGATATACCCATGTGTTTATTTGGGAATTTCCTTCTACGCTTTTTCTTTATTTATTCTACTTTAATTTTGTATTCAATCAATTTTAGTTTGCAGATGCTATTTATCAGCCATAAGGCCAGACCCAAGAAGTTTCTCATTCCGCCTTTTTGAAAGTTTAATGGGCACGTTCTCAGAAACTATAAAACTTGAATTGCTTATTAATTTGGGATTTTATTCTGTTGTGGAAAATTGAAGTTGGAGTTTATTAGCTGCTAAGCTTTCTTTATATAAATATAAATAAAAGATTTATAATCATATGCTTTCTTAGAGAAAGAAACAAAATTTGTAAGCTAAAAGTCTTAAAAGAACTAATTTTATTTTATTTCACAAATATTTCAAATAATAATTAAATTTAAATTTAGTTTATTCAATTTATAATTTAATGAAAAATATTTTACAAACAACGAACACAATTAAGTGCAACAGGGAGAAGCACGTGGCTGAATAAAATAAAAGTCAAATAAATTGTACCTTAATTAACTGGTGTCTCACACATATAGCATATCATTCAGATTTCTGGCCGACATAGCTCCACCTGCGAGGCATCGCATTCCGAGCCACTTTCGCTGCTTTTTTTACATTCATAAATTTTACAGTGTCTGCGGCATGTCAGAGCCCGCTTTTCCCGCCCCCAACCATTTGCCGCGGAGTGCGTGATGACGATGGCAGCGAGCCGAAAACGAGAAAAATCTGTCAACGGCACTTTTCACTTTCCCTTGATGGGATGGCAGCCCCTTCGCGATTCCGCCACTCACGGCAGCGTGTTGTGCTGTTTTATGCCACTAAATATGCCAAAGCGCGCGTAAATTGATTTAAACACGGCGACAAGGACGAGGCGGCATCTCCAGCGATGCTTATGTGGGTACGTGGGTGATGGCTGACGTGGTAATATGGCGGATGCGGCGGATACGGCTAGGTGGGCACTTTGAGGGCCCCCGAGTCTCATAGTCGCCCCCTTTTAAGTTGGAGCCTCTGTCTCAGACCCCGTGCTAATCAGGAGGGCTTCCTGCACCCTCTCGACTGTCAGGCATCGCTGCTTAAATATTTGCATAAAGGATATCAACGAATTCCACGAAGAAAGCGAAGCAGCGGCATTTCGGAGTATTTCCCAGTATTTTGTCATAAAATATTTTGATAACAACTAAAAGTGTGGGTGGCTAGACAGAATTTCTCGTTTCCTTGAGCGCATATGCAAATATATGGCGCCCAACATTGTTGACATATTTTTACCCAAAGTTACTCAATAGCAAGACAAGTAGCTAAATAGTTAGGCTTTATGCATTCTGCCATAAATAGGCAGGAAAGTTTTAAAATAATATCAAAATGTGTACTTTTGAATATTTCTGTACATAATGTGCCATTTTCTCTTTGTTGGAAAAGCATCTAATTTATTTATTTATTTAACAACTAACAATGAGCACAGTAAATGCCGAATATTTCTTGCAGACAGAAAATTAAATAGGCATATTTTGCTTCAAATAACTCTTCAATTAAATTTCAAAAATAGTTCAACCATTAAAATTTTGTGATAGACAATTTCCCAATTGTTTGCCTTGCAATGAAATCAACATTTTGACATATTTTTGGCGTAAACAACAATATTGTCTTTCGGCACCTACCTCAATTGTCAATAAACGCTCGTATAAATAAACTCGTCTGCGTTATTCCAGTTGCCAGTTACCAGTTACCAAGTTGCCATAAACCCACCGCTGTGGAGCGCCCATAACTGGCCTTAATCAACAACAGGCCAACGTCAGACAATATTTTAATCAGGCCTTTGGTCATAAATCTCGAACAAACGAATAGAGGCCCGAAAAAAAGTTCGAAAATACAACGGGGAAAAAATCAATTGGCCGTAGTAAGTTTTACTTGTTATGCTGGATTTTCCGCAAAGGGGGCGTTATCCTGCGTCATGGCCTCGACGAGGATGGACATGATTACGCCCGAGAAGTTGTCCTGGACATTTGATTATTATTATTAACACGTGACTGAAACGGGGCTAATTCAAGCGAGAATTTAATTAAAAATTTTACCCTTAATAACTGGCTGAATGGAAAGTGGAAGTGAAAAAAGTGCAAGGGGAAAAAGAGGAAAAACAGGGGGGCGAACGGAAAAAAAAGAAACGTGACATGGAGCGCTGATGGCCTACGATTCTGCTGCCATTGTCCGGATGACGTTGCCCGTTTTGGTTACGCCTGTAAATTGTTCGATGGTCGTTTACTCGTCTTTCTCTTTTACGAGCTTTTTTTTAATTGTCCGCCACGCATTCGAACTCGGCTCATCCTTGTCCTTATCGTCCTTATTCCGGCAACGGATATAATCCTGCACGCAGAACGAGGATTCATTGGCCGCCGCTTGAGGAATGATGCTGCAATTTCATTGATGTCCTTCGCCGGACCATTAATTGTTTAATTTATTGAGCCACAAACGAGTTTTATGAAGCTCATGTCATATAATTTAATCAACTGGGTGGTAGTTTTTCCCTGGGATATGTATGTACGTGGGGATATATAACGGGGTTATCGCTCTGATTTCGGTTCGGATCGATTCGGCAGCTGTCAAAAGTTTATTGTTATTGAAATTCCGAAAAATACAAGCGAAATTAGAACAAAACTTTTAACTCAATTACAAAGTCATTGAAAAACAAATTGCAGGCAGAAGCAGAGCGAAATGAAAAGAAAACAGAAAGGAGGTAAGAGGAAAAGTGTGGGAAAAGCCGAAAATGCATTTGCGGACCCCCCACTGGACCCCCACCCCCCCCCGGTTGCGCCACCCGTTTCGGTGGTTTTTCAACGAGTTCGGCACATAAAAGGAAGAAATTGCTTGGCTTGTCGCTGGAGAAAGTGAATTTCCTGCATTTCTACCATTTCTTCTTGGCCCTCCGCTATACCGCTATACCATTATTATTGTTATTTTGGGGTTTTTAGTGTTTGCAGGTTTTTAATGGTCTCGCAATATTGTGGTTTGTTGTTCCTGGCCCGTTGACATGGCACGGCATTTTGCGCTTAAGGATGCAATCCGACTTGTTGGCGTGGTTCCGCATTATTTAGCCTTGCCAGAGTCCTTCGACTTCAGTTTGGCAGCCATGCACCCACATGATTTGCCCACATTTGGCATGGATAGAACCAGGATTATGCAAGAAAAGTAGCAAACAATATTTGCCGGAATAAAAAAATGTTTAAGTTTCGAAAGTTAATTTGATAATATCAAATTGACATCCTGCGACAAGCCAAGCACTTATTTCAGTAATTATTATCTTATGATTTGAAATAAAGTTATTAAGATTCCTAACATATCTATAACTCTAAGGCGAATTTCCATATATTCTGAGATAACTAAAATTGATCCTAAGTTGTATACCATATTTTATTTCAATAACATTAGAACAGTTAGAAAACCCGATCGGATAATCCTGAAACTGAGACTTCGCTTAACAACGTTCACTTCAGAATAATTCCAAGCATCGAAAGTACTCGAATTCCTTAAAGATTATAATAATGAAGATAATATCATTCATATTGATATAACCATTATTATGTTTTAATATGGAATAATTATTCATTGTTCCGCCATTAAAGTTTATAAATATTTAAATAAAATTACATGACTTACAAACAATCGGCTTATGTTTCCCGTCAATTTACATTCGTTGATGTTTTCGACTCGGAAAATTAATGATTAATATAACGTATACGCCGCGTTACACACTGTGTGAGTGTTTAATTTTCAAACCAAATCCCTTTCCAAATCGTTAAGCACATTTTGCATAGAATTCTGTTTCAAAATTGTTGTAAGCACACTTTACGAACGAATTCACTTTTCGATTTATTGTTAGCACAGTTCAGCACTTTTACCAATCGTATTTGAAAACGTCACTTGTTGGCAACCGCCGCGAACTTTATTCCGCTTTAGATGCCGTTGATACCGTCAACGTGCAACGCCGTACAGGAACTGAAATGTGCGGATGTTTTGGCCAAACTGTTGCGACTGTGGCCAAAAGCAGACAGCCGAGAGGAGCCGACGAGCTGCCGACAGTGGGCCAAAAAGCCGATGGGTCTCAGCCTTCCAGTTGCAGCCTTTCGCTTCCAGGGAGCAGGTGGCACGAGGAGGTGGTTTCTTATCAGCGGCACCAGCTGCTCTGATAGGGCCAAACAGCTGATGAGTGGGCTCAGAGTGGGCGCCACAGCATTCCTCGTGAGCGGTGAACTTCCTGCTTGTACGGAAAACATATTATTAAAATTCGTTGGAAATTAGTCCTTCTGTTCAAAGCTGTGGATTATATTTTTTGCTGCTTCTGGGAATATTATAGGGAGTAAATGCTAAAAATAAAAGTTAATAAAAAACATATGTGTAAATTTCCCACAATTTCGAAAAAAAATGGCAGCACACTGAAGTGAAGAAAAAGATGATCTTTGCTGCTTTCAAAATATTACAATTATCAAGGTATCTAAAATTTAATTCATTTATTCTCTGGTTAAGAGGGAATTATTAAAAAATTTAAATTTAATTATATATAGTAATTCTTAATTTTGAATAAACCAAAGAAATTTTTATTCAATTGTATTTACATATTTTACTTAAGAAAACTGTGAGCAATACACAGTGCATAAAAAATTTTCGAAAGTGACAAGTGTAAACGATATCTTTTTGCAACATATTTTTAAAAATTCTATAAAGTCTATAAAGGAAGGTGAAAGAATGGTCATAAATCTTATCCAAAAACGACACTCCTTAAAAATTAGCTATTTCCTTAGATCCAAAAAATAATTATAATATAAAAATTGATTTTTAAAAATATTTTTTAAATGAAATTTGAATTTAACTTATAAAGACAAATATTAAAATTGTTTACAAATAAAACTAGAAAAGTGATGACCATAGTATTTCCCCTCCGATTGCCTCTGCACATGCGCCGATTTCCCCAACAGATGGCCGGCACTCTCCTCCTGGAAGCCGGGAAAACTATCTGTTGCTCCTGTCCACGGGGGGTGGGCACACCCACGGCACTATGCTGGTTGTGGGCCGTTGGTCGAGCAATTTGCATGCAGCCTTTTTGCACACGTTCGTGTGCATCTTACATACGAAATCACTCTGGATGGACACTTGACCAGCACCTGGTCGCCGAAGCCCATCCAAAGGTCGTGGTCATCATCAAAGGCGACTCCTGGTGCTGCTGCGTTGGCACTTTCGACGCTCTTTGGGGCGACACCCCCAAATGGTCTCGGGGCTGAGTGGTTTTTATGGCCACCCAGGTAGTGTGATATTTTGGGGCAAATTGAAGTTGTGTGTTTATGTTTCGGTTCATCGATTGACCGCCCACGCCCCCTAATGCGGCGTTTATCGCCGACAGGAAACAGAAATGCTGCCATGCATAAACCACTCGAATGCATCGATGCATTTCCGCTGCACAATCAAATTACAAATATTTACTCTTTTTATCTTCACGCCAATTCGAAAAAATGAATCTGGACACGTGCCAAATTCCCTGAATTCTCATTCGATTTATTAGAATTTCTCTCCATGATGAACTCAAACGTTTCTGTAATTGAATGTAAATAGGTGCAATAAAAGGAACTTCTTCAATCTAGAATTTTTATTCAAGCCCCAAAAAGTAGGCCACACTGATGGTTTCTGAAAATAATGTTTATTTTAGAAATGACAAAAACTAAAATAATACAATTACTTTTATTAGGTTTTCCCCTTTCTTTTCCTAACTAAATTAAGACACGTCCATATTTATCTTGAGATGTTCTATAGATTTCATTTTCAAGTAATTTGCTAAAAACTAAAAATCGTAAAGCAATATAAAAATACAAAAAAGGTCTACTGATATTACTTGCTAAACAATAAATATAAATAAAAGGTCAGACATAAACATTTAGCTGGCATATTCAACGCTTGTACTCTTATTAAGCCTACGACATCAACCCTTGACCGAAATCCAAAAACCCTTCTTGGGTTGACAGCCCTTCGAAGTCGGAATAAGGACTTTAAAAGCTTCTCAAAATTTCAACATTTTCATTATGCCAAAGGGACACACATGAATTCATTTAAATATACAAGGTACATATATACCGCTGACCGCAAATGGGAAACGTCTTTTGGTCAGCTACCCTCACCCCGAAAATCAAACCCTTTTCAATGCAAAACGAGAACTAATTTGAATAATTTACTTTCGCTGAACACGGTCGGCAACAACATCAAGAGCAGAAACAACATTAATTAAAATGAATGGCGAAGCGAAAAACTCAAAGGCACCAAAAAATAAAGCCCGGGACTTGTAGAACAACCTGTTAATCAGATGATGTAGCCGTCGGTTCCAGCGGGCTAAATTCATGTTCTCCTGATTAACATTACACCGAACTCATGGTGGCTACCAAAAGCGGGTCCCTGCTGCACTTCTAATGCAAAACTAATTTAGGTCACGGTACACTGAGAAAAAAAATCATTTTATAAATAGCAAAAAACAAAAATAAATCTACAAAAAAATGTAATTGCCTTACCATCAGTTATCAAGAAAAATTGCGTATACGCAATGTAGGCTGTAATGGTTTTCATGGCTGACAATCCTAATCAGTTTATTTAACAAATTTTTAACTTTCAAAATACATATATTGTCGGTAATAAATATTCATTTTGGACAGTGTGCACTGGGGAACCACCGCAGACTGACCGGTGGACTGACACTGGCATAGATTTAGAATTTTTGCGATGGAGCTGATGCGGATGGTGGACACAATGCTTTAATCAACCGCAAATGCAATAGCGAAGCAGCTGCTGTTAATTAGCGTTTGTGTGTTCCATGTGAAAAAGCTGGCGAGGCACGCAACATCCAAGCGACTGGGACTGTGGAGAAGAAAATGTGACACGTAGTCAGATTATGTGGTCGATTTAGTGACAGTGGCTTTTGCGGCTGCAACTTAACCAAATATGAGTAAGCATTCATTTAAAAGTGAAAATAATAAATATTTTTGGCCTTTAGTCTGTCCAGCTGCACTATTTAGAGCAAATCAAGCAGACATGATTGAAAAAATTAAATGACCAATTAACCATGCCTACTTAATTATGCAGATTAAATGCGATTTTTTAATATACAGTCCATTTAAATGATTTATTCATTTGAGCAAATAATTAAACTATAATTTAATGCATATTATTATAGCTTAAAATACTATTTAAATAACACTTAAATAATAATTATATGGTCCATAATTATAACAAATAAAAAAAACGAAAACATATTTTTTTTATTTAAAAGTCAATTAAAAAAAATATTTCCAATTCATAATAATTTTTAAATTATAATAATAATGTTTATAATTATCGTAACATAAACCTTTTTAGTGTATTTTTGTGGTAATCAAATTATTATAAATTCGATGTTAAATTTGAAGTTAACATTTTCCAAATGTTTTGCCTTCCACAATAGAGTTCAAGACAAGCAATTAAATAAGAATTTATGGTGAACCAATTCTCTGTGGTCAGCTCTTTAAAGCACAAATAAATGAAGATATATAAATGTATGTTCGTAGCCAAGCAGAGGGATTATTGTATATTTGTGTGGACGCTTGTCTGTATGGAACTCCATTCGGTAGACACGGCTGACCCACAGCAAAATTAAATTTTGATATGGGTCTATTTATTTGGCAGTCACATGAGACACTCTCGGCAGCTGCCCTCGAAACAAAAAAAACTTTTGTGACTCTTGTTCGTAATGCAAATGCATGTGAACCGAGTCGAGCAATTTCGGGACTCTTAGCCACCTATAAAATGGATTTGTTGACACCCCCACAGAAAACCACACACTCACGTCGAGAACTTTTTAAATATGCATGAGCACCTTTTTTCTCCGATGATCCGGCCTTACCCGGCGTATACTTGATAACAGATATCGCCTTTCAACGCCACAGAAAACAATGCCGAGAGCAAGATGAATGGGGTCAGTAAGTATGGACTTTAACTGCAGACTCTGACCCAAAATACTTCAGTCGCTGAGTTTTTTCACATAGAAAATAAAATTTATGGCAGCTCATGGTCAAGAGCCTGCCAACAAGTGAAAGCCTTGAATTTAAACTAATTGAATAGTACCAACATCTATATCTAAATTTAATCTAATCTGAAGTTAAGACTTAAATTCAGAATGTTTGCGCCTGACTTTGTATCACCCATATCTCGCATGTATTTCCAGATTTAAACACTTTGTTAAGCAGAAAATATATTGTCCATATATAGTATGTCTACCCTTACCTAAACTCAAATCAAGTTAAACACCTGTTAGTTGTCCTTTGAAACCCGCTCTGAGATAGTACCTATAGTGCAAGTACACAGAAACAAATTTAACTTATTTAATTAAGACAAAAAAATTAAAATAGTTTAAAATACTACATTTTTGTATTTTACTAATTAACTTTTATAGGTAATGTGTTTAAAATAATTAAATGTAGATTTATAGCTACAATGACCAACGACGATGGCTATAAATGCTATTTAACTCACTAAAGTTTATTTCATTATGGCATTTAAAAGTTGAAAGATAAATGGGTCACTGTTATGGAATGATTTTTATCAGGATAAATTTCAAACTTGATTCATTATAAAAGGATTTAGTTAGCTCAGTATATTTCCTCATTGAATTTTCCAGGTTCCCACATGAAGTTTTTTCTTTGTGCCACATGTGAATGGTCGTATGGTACTCATCTGTTTGTCCTCGTTGTTGGCATGCCTACCGGGTTGTTGTACTCCTGCCGGCAAATAAATGGAAATTGAACGTGAAAAGGAGCAACTGGTTGGGCATTCAGCTAACCAGGCAGCAATATCTGTCCACCCACAGGTAAGAACCTCCCACACAGTTCGAAAAGCAGCCGTTCCGTAGGACTTCTGAAGACTTCAAAGGGACACTACAGGTATCACGCTGATTGGCATGCACTTGGCGGTGGGCGTGGGAGTCCGGCTGCCGATTTCAACCCGCCGACACCTGAAGGAGTCCTGCGAAATTGCGTTTTCATTGTCATTCCGCACTCGGAGAAAATATTTAATCGAATAAATTAACATAAGTCTTATAAAAAACACATATACATCGGTTCCTTACTAAATTGTTATTATATTTTATATACTTTTTCCATGATACATTTTCTATATATTTACATATATTTTTAAGTATCGTTTCAAATTGAATTTCGTAGTGTATTTTCATCGGAACTCTGAATCGAGTGCGGAGCGTGCGATGATCAAAGGCTTGACACTGGTGTAATGAATGTCAGATGGTGTTTGGTTAATTTTAAATGCTGCTCCTAGCCACGAGTGGGATGCAGGCACAGGCACGGGCACACCTGCCGGAAAAGTTTCTGTTGATTCAATTTACTTTTTTAGAATTTATGTTTGTGTTCCTGCTGAGTGTGTTTTTTGTGTGCTTTTTTTAAAAATTGCCATACAAAGCAGACGTGCAAAATGTGTTAAAAGTTGCATGTGTTGTGTTGTGTTGGCTGCTTGTTTGTTCTTTCTGTCGTTGTTACGCCTGTTTGCCATTTCGCTTTTGAAGTCTCCAATGTCATCCACATCACCGGCGAGCAACTTGTGAATTTCAAAGAAAATGGAAATTAAATGAACTTGAAATTCTGAGCAGCTTAGAGGAGAAAAATCAAGTTCACACTCCCAAGTTACAAAGACAATGAATAGCATTTTTATCTGTGCCAGTAAATACAGTATATGTACTAAATACAAAAAAACATTAATCTTTTTTAACAAAACAACACTTTATTATTTTTCTTTTCTGTGATGAAAACGTAAAAAATATAATTCAGCCCTCTTCTAAGTCTATGAAATACAAAACCATTCTTAACTGCGTATAACCATCAGAACACTCACATCATCTATCGCGTTTTGAATACTATATTTGGAGCCTTGAAAAAACAGAAATTAATAAGTACGCTTTTTAGTAAGTATTATTGCTGTGATTTCTTACCCTTATCCACTTCAATCATGTCGCCAACACGTAGGATTGCATGAACTTCCTCTTCCTCGCCCTCGGCCATTGTCTGCACGGCAAACTCACCGAATTGCACAATGAATTTCTAAAATAAATATAGTTTTTTAATTATCTTCAAAATATAACTAAAATAAGTTTTTATTCTACATACCAGCGGGTGAACTTTCGCACGCTTCTTGTTGCGAGTCTGGTGGGGCTGGAATCGCATATATCCCAACGTTGCCCTTTCCTTCGTATTGTAGAAAGCGTAGTCAATACCATCTACCTGACTGAAAACCAAATCGTTTGCAGGAGCTGCAGAGATAATGTAATGAATGATAAGAAATATATAAATAGCTTTCTAACTTACAGACACTCGCGTTTTCATCCGACATACTAGGAGTGGGTTGGGCCTCGCCGACGCCTCGCAGCCAGTGCATCAGTTGAATGGAGGCTTCCTCCTGTTCATCTCTGATAGGAGCTACCGGTGGTACAATGGGCTCTGGCTCCGCTACCGTCTCGTGATCGTTTCTGAAGGGAGTTACGCAAGATGCCGTGACCTCTTCCTGGTTGCTTCTGAGGGGAGTAGCCAAAGATACCATTGGCTCCGGTTCCGGCTCAGGCTGTGTTTCAGTTTGTACAACTTCCTCTGGCTTCTTTTTTCGCCCTCTTTTCTTGGCTACCTTTTCAACCACCGTTTGCACTTCTGTATCTTCCCACGCCAAGGGGCTGATTCCAAGAGACTCGGAGTTTTGCTTTGCCTCCGTTCCCTTTTCGACATTTCGCGGCGTACTGCTGCACAATGGTCCACGGTCAGCCACTGAGTTGTCCCGCACAGCTTTCTTCGGTTTTGTGGCACTCGCTTTCTTCGTTTTACTCAGATTGGTTTTTTTCTCCTTTGACTTTTTGTTAGGAGCTTCTGTAAAATCTTGCATGAAGCTAAACTGCCTAGGATCCATTGTATGGCACCAATTCATCTGAAGTGGAACTTGACCTCGCTTGGAACGCCTAATGCCAGCTAAGGGTGCAGAAAATATAAAAGAATTTAGTTTGACGTATTGCATAAAGATCACAATACTTACAGGTATCCTCCATATCCACCGTGATCTTGGACAGCTTTAAACTATCTACCTCGGACCTCAATTTCTTATATTTTGCCCGAGGTGCGGGCGCCAATGGTTTCTTAAACACCACCTCAGCGTTCGACACTTCCTGGGATTTCGCCTGATTCCTTGACATTTTTTGACTACGATGCAGAGCTTCCAGAGCCGCTCGACTCGTGCTGGGCACATCGTCGGCCAAAGAATCCTCAAGGACAGATCGGTTGTTGGTGGTCCCATCACTTGACTTTGGATCAAGCGGAGGTGTGGGAGTATTTACGCGTAGAGATTCCATGTGCTCTGATTTTTCAATAACTTCATCCTCTCGAGTCGTTGAATTACCAGTAAATACTTCATCAGCTTCCATACTTTTCTGGTAATTTGAGAGATTCTGGGACTTGGATACACTCTTTTGATTACGTTTCTTTTTACCAGACGAAGATTCACTGGCACTTGTTGTCGATATCGATTCTGAAGCTTTATCATTGGGACCTTTAATACATTCTAATGTAAGTGGAACCACATTATCCTTTTGGGCCTTTGCTTTAGTGAGATTCTGCAGGGATTTTTCGCCTCTGCCCTCCGAGTTTCTTACTTCATCCTCGTCTTCAACGTAATTTGGGGTTCCATTATTTTCGAATGGAACTGAAACGACTCCGTTTTTCTTTGCCTTTTGTCCACTCGGCTTGATGTGCTCCGATTTATTTCCCCTGCTCCTTAACCTCCTTGGTTGCTCAACATCGCTTCCACTATCGTCATCGCCATTTTCCGGTGGCTCCGGTGGATCAGTGTGCTCTGCTTTGTCTTTTGTACTTTGATCAGTCGGTTTGGACTGCAGAATTTTGTTTGTATTTTTCTGCGACTTTCTTGGTTGTTCACAGTTGCGATCCTCTTCGATTTCTCCATCGTTCTCCGCTTGGGTAATATATTCCAATGGAGGTGGCACTACTGACTCTCTATTCGACTTTTGTCCACTCTGTTTCGCCTTCAAATTAAACTGTGGCTCGTCATTGCAAATTTCTTCCCCGATTCCTTCGCATTCTGGTTGTTCAATATATTCGATAGGAGGTGGAACCAATTCGTTCTCCTTTGTCTTTCGTCCAGACGAAATGGATTGCCTAGAAAGTCTGGCTGCACTATGTTCCTCGTACTCCGTTGGGGGTGGAAGAAGATCCTCCTTATGGCTCTTCCGTCCAATTGTGCCTTTGTTTCGTGTATTTACACCATACTCGGGAGGGGGTGGAGCGATTTCAATGGTATCACTATTCCTGGTATTATGAAAACCAGGAGGCGCAGCCATCACGACATCATCGAAATCAAATTTGCTGCTGCGGCGAAGATTTTGCAGCGATTGTGAATAGCGCAAGGAAGCGGGAGGAGGCGGAACAATTTGAATGCTTCTGCTTAGCCTAGGCAGCTTTACCGGCGATGACGAATCGTAATCCTCGACATTGGAGTCCCCCTTTGTGTACAGGCTTCGCTTGCCTTCCCTGGATAGCTTTCGTCGAATTTCCATTGTGCTGGAAAGTCCCAAATAGTTCTTTAGCTCCTCCGTCTGTAAACCAGCATTCAGAAAGAAAATTAAAGGAAATTCATTATATTTATTTGCTAGGATAACTCACCATTGGAAGTTCCCGTCGCTTAGAGCGCGATCGGCCGTTCTGCGTTCGTTCGTTGCTGCTCCGTCGATGACTGCGTGTTCTTCGCGGCTTTGGCAAATACTCCTCCTCGGAATCATCAGAAGAGGATGGTTTTCGGGGCAATCCGTCGGCCTCGTCCATCATATTTCTTCGCAGCAGCTCCTGTTGAATAAGCTTCTCCGAACGGCGCTTTTGCCCATTAAGAGGAACTACCTCGTTCAACGAGAGGCGCTTGCGCAGATCCAAAATCTCGTAGTTGCTCATGCGGGCCAGTTCGTTGGCGAACTGCTCGCCATTAATGGGAGCACTAGGGGCCTTATTCAGCGGTATAGCCGTCATGCGGGGCCTAGACTTCTTGGCATTGTCCGATCGGTGGAGGTTAAGCAGGCGCATAGAACTCTCCTGAGCTTCGGAAATAACTCGAGCCCGATTGCTACTGCGCAAGCGTCGCTGGCGGGTTGTATTGCCGCCCGGCGGTGCTAGATTCAATGGCGCAGTGCTGGGCTGTTCGTCGCTTTCGTCGTCGGTCATGATGGCATCTTGATTTTCTACGACCCGCGAAGTTTGTGCTTTCGGTTTGGGGGAAGAGGCAGCGGCGAAACTTTTAGCAGGAGATGCAACTGGAGAAGTCGGAACATTTTGTACCTGTGCTGAGTCCCGTCTCACACTCACATTTGGATTGGCTGCATTGATCACCACAATTGGTCCGCTGGCATTCCGCGAAAGAGTCTGGACCAGCTCACCCAGATCCTGCGGCTGTGTTTCCGGCACCACAAACTCAGGTTGTGGCTGCGATTGCCAGGCAGGCTCGTGACTTGGTCGTTGTGGTGTTTCGGGCACTATGACCTCACTGGCGATTCGCTTTACCTTCACCACTGGTGATTTGATCACCACTGGTGATGTGACACTCCGATGCGAAGGCGAAAGCAGTAGCTGTCCCGGAGCTGGACCTTTTTCCATGGTGTAGGTACGTCGCAGACCCGCCGCAGATGACGAAGGTGGAGTTGAGGGGCGTGACTGCGGTGAGCGACCACAAATGTCCAGCTGCATGACATTGTTGCGAAATGAATTCCGCCGTTCTTCGCAGATTTGTTTAAGTTCAGCGGCAAATACGGAAGTCCTGGCCGGTGGCTTCTCCACTGGCTGGTTACATTTTTCCGCTGGTTTCTCTGCTGGCTTTTCTGGTTTTTCAGTTGCGTTCCCGACTGTTTTCTTATCCACATCTTTAGGTTTCTCTGCGCAGGGAGTGCTGCTTATTTCTGGGACCTAAAAATATCCAAAATTAGATGATGAATTTCCTGGAGATGTGTGCAACTTACAAAGTCCACGGGACTGGATAGGCTGCGGGTGAGGTTAATGGCCTCTTCGAATTCTGGGAGCAGTTGGCGTCCGCAGCTGCGGGATCGTCGGCGGATGGCATGGCGACGTAGTTTGTCGGAGCCCGGAACGTTTCCGCTGCGGCGCAAGGAGCGACGATGATTGGGCGACAATGTGGGCGAGGTTAGCGGCGGCTGATTCTCATTGGTGGCCTGGTCCACAGGCGGATTATTGCATTGCTCGGGTGCACTGGCCAACTCGCGTAGGGGCTGTACTTCTGGTACTTTGGCCTTGGGCTGGGACTTCTTGATCAGTGGCAGCTCAAAATCCAGGTCAAAATCGATCTTGAAGTTTCCAAAGAGATTGGCGTTCGGCGGCGGCTTGTTCTCGGCCAACTTGCGCATCATGAAGGCCGCGAAGCGCTCCCTGTCCTTCACCGGCTGGCTGAGGATGTCTTCCAGCTCCAGAGTGTCATCATTCTGGGCCCTCGACCTGAAAAATAGTTGGGTGCACTCCGCGTTAGTATGATTTTATCGCGTTTCCCCCGCAGCTCACGATCGAGATCTTACATCTTTGCTGTTATCACTTAACTTCTGACGGTTTTTACATTAACTACTACAAGTAAACACAACTTATTCCGCTAATTTCTCACAAGAATTATAAATTACACAAAAGAAGCGACGCTATTGCATTGGTGTTGCCAGAAACCTTTGAAGGCGCGCCTAAACGCGGTGCTGCCAGACTGTTGAACATAGTAGGGCTGCCGAACATCCTAAAATAAGCTGAAAATGGCTATAAATAGATAGAAAGTATTTGTTTTATTGTTTTGTCATTTTATATTTTTATAAAAAACAAACCTTTAAATTAGGCTTATTAAATGTGATCAAGCAAATAATTTTATTTAATTATTTATTTCCAATTGGAATTCCCAGTAGCCTTAATAACCCTTTGTCACCAAATACATTAAATCTTGTCGAGTTTATTTTAATGCCATTAATATATATAAACGTTTTAATAGGAATATTTTTAAAAAATCATAAATCGGTTTCAAATTAAACTAATCATCCTAACATCTGGCAACGTAAACGAACTACCGTATATCCTGCCTGAAGAAATACCAAATATTGAAAAAGCCGGCAGTTTTGTTGACAAAACAAAATGTTGGAAGCAAATTTTTCAGATTTCCCAGATATTAAGGCTCCTGATTTAACGTTGAATCAGCTAAAGATAATTCTGAAGCGACTGCGACCACTCCAGCGATACAGTTTTTGCGTAGAGGCTTGCGAAGATGACGATGTGGGCACGGTGGGAAATCTAGGAACTTTCCTGATGAAATGTGGACTAACATTCCTTTTTATATGGATTAAAGCTTCGCGAGGGCTTCCTACAGATGCTGAAGAGCAACCTAAGCCTGGAAGAGGTGGTGGCCCTGTACTCTGCATCCGTGGCCTTGTTCCTGCTGGACGAGAACGAGGACGAAAGGCCGTGTGGCCAGCGATTGGAGCTCTTGAACGGTAGCTTTGCCTACTCGGACACCCTGAAGCCCACGATGATCCACTACGCCACTATTGAAATTCTCAGCAGCCTAAAGCTGGCCACCAGCGAAGAGGAGCACTACTTCGTCTACCTGCTGGAGGTCATTCCCCACATCCTGGTGGCCAGCGACACCGGCAAGATGATCTCTCTAGGACTGCTCCGCGCCATAATAGCCATCATATCTGGGTCCCAAATAATCCTGCACATCTATCGCAGTGTTAGTCACCCAGTTTCAGTTTGAACCCGGCTCATCTATGTTTATTTTTAGCTATGGGAATCCTTTGAAATGTTGCAACAAGTCAGCCACAACAATATCCTGCTAGACTGGTCGTTACGAAGGACATATGTCCTGGTAAAGGCCTTCGCCCTGCTCACCGCCAGCGTCGCCTTCAACTCAAGCAACCAGGAACTCAAGCGGGCAGGATACAGGGGCTTCGAATTGCCACCCAAAGCCACTGAAATCGTCGAATGGTTCAAGACGCTGCGGGATCGGCTCGAGGAGAAGCACAAGGCGCTCAAGTGCCAGAAGGGGTTAATGGTAAGGAAGAGGTTTGTTTTGTAAGTTAGTATACACAATTATCTGCTTTCAGATAGTGCGCTTTATGGACCACAACATACTAGCCTACTTAACGGAGACGGGCAACGAATCCACTTCCGAGGTGGGAAACGAGGCCAATATGGAGGTGGGCAGTGACATCACCGCATAGTTTATAAGAATGTGTTATTTATTAAAGTGTATTTTATGGTTATTCGAATGTTTTAGTTAGCAGAGTCAGGCTAGAGATTTAGCGTGATCACTTGAACTTCTTGGCGCCCTTCCTCGCCGCAGGAGCATCTACGATGGGCACCTGGACGGAGTAGTACTTGGTGGAGATTCTGTTGAGGAAATAGAGGCCCACCAGGGAGAAGAGGACACTGGTGGTGGCGCAGACGCGATGCACGATTCCCGCGGCGGCCACCGTGAGTGAGAGGCAAAAGAGGATCTCCGGCAGCAGCTTGGCCTGGAAGTCCTGGCCGAAGACGACCATTTCCGCATTGGAGACGCAGGTGAGGCTCAGGATGAACAGCCAGGAGAAGAGGTAGCCGCCCAGAAGCACCTTCAGCTGCGAATCGTTGAACCACTCGGAGCAGAAGCGCAGTGTGGCGAAGAGGACGATGCTCAGGAGTCCCGATATGATGGAGGACACCAGGGTGCTCTTGCTGCTCATCGAGGCGGCTGCAAAGGATCGGGTTTTGGTTTCTGTTTTCCGAAATTCCCCTGCTTTTGCTTACACATATTCTTCGTTTTCTAACAGCCGGCGTCTTTCTTGTACGTGTAGAAAAAATATACTTTATATACCATTTTTAAATATTCCAGAAAATACCGAAAATATTACAAACGGTCATGCTGAAATGGAGTGTGTCTTCGCTATGTGCGTCGATTGTGGAACGGTGGAATTTTGAACTTTGGGGTCTTTTGAATATGGTTTAAAAGATTTGAACTCCTTAATTTCTATTTTTAAATTTTCTTTATTTTTGTCTGCGGCGGCGGAATAAAATCTCATTTCGTGTGCAACACTTACATAGTTATCAAAAATATTTTCTATTTCAAGGAAAAACACTTTTAGCTTAGTTCACAGAGGGGTTTGGACTTGCGATCGGCTTAGCCCGGAATTAGTAGCAGTCCGAAATCATGTTCTCATCGTCGCGCTTCAACGCACCAAGGATATCATCCAGCAGGGATGTGAAATTCTCCTTGCACTCGAACCACTCCTGGTGCTGCTTGACCAACTGGTCCAGGTCAATGGTCTTCAGTTCCTCGAAGAACTGTCTTAGCGGCATCGCGAACTGCTTGTAGTAGAACTCATCGATGTGCCGCTTCTCCGCCGTCTCCCCCTCGTCGTTAATCTGCATCTGGGTCTCGAAGGCCTTCTCCAAGAGCTGGGCATCCTGCGAGTTCAGTATGGCCTCGATAACCTCGTCTGCCTCGCTGGAATTCACTGGTACTTGGGGAATTGGAGTTGGCTGCGTTTGAGACGGAAAACTAAACGTCGAACGTTCGCTGTCCGAGAGCGGCGATCTCATTTCGATTTCGTCCATTATGCCCTTGTAGCGCTCAAACTTTTCCGTCATTATCTTGACGCCCTTGATGAGGAATTCCAGCACCTCCATCGAAGTCTCCTCGCGCAAGCACTTGAGCAGGATGCCAAAATATCCGTACTGTTGCACCCCGCCAAATACTTTGGCAATGCTCGTTTGGATCTCTTTTTCCGTCAGCGTGACGATCTTTTTCTGCTCCTTCGAGAAGGTCACCGTGGGAAAAGAGCCATCGATCATGCCCTGGTTGCTGAACTGCCGATAGAACTCCCGGCGCCAGAAATTCAGCGCGTTCAGTTTCACATCCGTGTGATGATCCCCGACTACACAATAGTTGAGGGTCGAGAAAAGGGTATCCTTGTACTTCTCGTGAATCTTGCGGTGCTCGTAGATCTTCATCAGCGTGATTACGGCCTCGGCTCGCACAATATCATCGTTTTCCCGATACATCACATACAGAAGATGGTCCTGGGGATATTCAATTAGTTAATGATTGAAAAGGCTTATAAATCTATTTACTCACCACAAGATCGAGTTGGCTAAGACCATTTTCCCACAAAAGGTTTATGGACACCATTTGGGAAAGACATTTGAAGGCAGAGGCTCGTACATAGACTTCAGAATCATTCTTGGCCATTTCATAGACTATAGGCGGTATCTTTGAATCGATCAGAAACCGTTGAAAGGCGGGAAACTCTGTAGAAACAAAGCGACTCATTAAAGGTAAGCAAAGGGCAATAATAATAACATGCTTACTGATGCGGGAGATACTGGCTATAGAGGTGGTTAGCTCCAGCGTTGTGTCACGCACCTCCCACATCGTGTCATGCATTCGCTTGACGATAATGGGACCCAGGCAGACCAGCGCAGAGCCCTGCAAGTTGTCCACCAGCAGCGCCATGTTCGGGGAAAGGAAGTGCTCCACAGCCAGCTGGACGAGCTTCAGCGCCTGGACAGTGCACTGCAAAAGTAAAAAAAATTTAGCAAGATGTTCAAGTAAACATGTCAAGTTCAAAGTGCAAAAGCACAAAGGTTAGTCTCCGTTTTATTTCGACCAGGGTTCGGAAAATAGCACATACTGTAAAAAACTTGTCAAGTTTAAAAAAAGTTATTGACTTGTATGTAAAAAATTGTATCCTACATATGTTAGAAACATAAATAAAACCCACATGTCATTTTTGTTTTTTACTCAGCGTGTTTTTAACACAATGAGTTTTTGACATTGAAGTGTCAGAATTGTACGTTGAACTGAAAATTGCACGGTTTTCTAGAGTATAAAATGTAATTTTCATTTGTGTTAAAAACACAGTGTGTAAAAAAAAGTCGTGTTAATAACACATTGCGTAAAAAACACAAGGGATTTTTTTTTCACATTTTACATTGTATTTGACACACTGTAAAATACGATTTTTCATGTTTTTAACATGTGTGTTAAATTCCGAACCCTGCTTTTAATTTCCACTCACCCTGGCATCCATGTTTGTGTTCTCCAAAACAAAGGCCAGGCAATTGACAAGGCCAATAGTCTCGACCGACTCCTTCCACGTAATCTTAAAGCGTTCGATTAGGGTGCGCAGACCCACCATGACTGAGTGCAGGACCTTTGGATCGTTGACCACCTTCTCGGTGCCCTGTGGATACATCTCCAGGTACGAGCTGCCCGCGCTGCTCACGCTGTGGCAGTCATCCTGGCTGTTGCTCGTTATCACGCTCAGGGCCACCGCCTCGCGCAGCACGTAGAGCAGAGCCTGACACACAGTGACGGCCTGCTCGCGATCGAGAACATTCTCCAGGGCCAGCAGGCTGTGAATACATTTGTTGGCCAGCCCCGCGGTCACCAGACCCATCGCCATGCCGTCCGCCGTGAAGAAGGTATCCCGCATGGTGTAGCACAGTCGCAGAGTCTGCTCGCAGGATATCTCCAGCAACTTCACCACGTAGGCGTCGAATAGCTCCACCTTGTTCTCCTCGTCGGCGATCTTCTGGGCGTACTTCATGGAGAAGAGCAGTGGCAGCATGTGAAAGCAGATTAGCTGGTTCTCGAATGTCACACGCTCTTGCTGGATGACAATCTCTTTGGGCGCCCGGGGTCCCAGCCTTTTCCACAGCACGTGATTTAGCTCGGCCAACTTCACGAAGCTCACGCCGTCCTTGCGGGTAATAAAGAATTTCATGAGATTGAAGAAAGCCAAACCGAATTCGGTAAACTCCTCCGGCGGTTCGGTGGCGTCCGGATTCAGCAACTTTTCGTGCAGCAGCAGGGCAAAATTGTAGCTACTGAGCGTGGTGAAGATCTTCTCGATGAAGTAAGGATTGTGGGTCATATCGATGAGCTTCCAAATAGTAATCTCGAAGTCATGATGCTCCTTGAGCAGGGCAATCAGGCTGGAGCGCTCCTCGAGCACCAGCGTCTGCTGCAGGATGTAGGACAGCAGGTCCAGGGTGGCGGAGATTTTGTGCAGCAGCTCGTTATCATCCACCTTGATGTGGATGCGCTCCTCGCTGTCGGTGTTCTTGTACAGATTGTCGTGGATGGGCTGCATGATCTCGGTGAGAATCTCCAGAGTAACCGCCTTGTCGTGCAGCTTGTCGCAGGACTTGTACAGCATATTGTAGAGCACCTGGCGGGCCTCCCGCACGACATACAAAGTGTGGTCGTTATTGGAGTACTGGATGAGCAGTGTCCAGATGCGATGCAGTTTCAGGAAGGCCAGGCCCATGCTGTACACGGTGATGGCCTTCATAAGACGAATGCCGCCCAGCTTAATCGAAGGACTGAAGTTTTGTTCGCCCTGCAGGAGTTTTACAGATCTAAAAAGGAAAGGATTAGGAAGTCATTTCTTAAACCTTATGGCACACCCACCTGCTAACTATATCCAGCTCTCGCAGGCGCACAATCATCCACTCGTTGCTCGCCAGATAGCTGGTCAGATTCAGCATGAAGGACACCACCTTCGGGTGGATCCTGTTGAAGTCCTCGTTCACCGCAGTGAGGCACCGGTCCACCCATTCCATCACAAAGGGGGCCTGCAGCACAAAGGCGTTCTCTGATCGGAGTTGGTCAGATAGATAGATATCAGCGGTGGGATTAGATAGCTCGGGCAGTCTGATTTAGAAACTTACCCTTGGCCTGCAAGTGCGTGAGGAGCTTCTCAAAGTAAACATTGTTGGTTGTGGAAAAGTTCTCGCGCAAAAATATGTCGAATATCGGGCGCAGGCGCGACAGCACCTCCTCTTGCTTCTGCATCTTGCTGGTTCCGAACTGTCTGCCTGTCTAGCGACTCCCCGATGGCATAGTTTTGGAGCTTGCAATTGTACCAGCGAATAATGAAATCGGTTGATTGCGGGCTATTGCTCTTATCACGCCGAAAGACACTTGTTTTGCATTTGGAGTGACCGTGCGCGGTGCCCTCGAATAGGGTTGCCAAGTGCGTGAATTGGGACCGGGGAAAAAGTCACGGGATTGGAATGTTTAACGTGTATGCTTTTAGGTAACTCTTTATATCTTTTTAAAAATCAATCTAGTTAATATTGAGCTATAAACATCCAAAAAATGGGATTTAGAGAATATTATAGAAAACATAATCCGTATTGTAGTTCCCTTGGTTATTATATTCTGATATCCTGCTCCTTTTTTTTTCAAATTATACTATGGAGACTTTTATAAATCACTTGGTTTATTTTATAGTTATTTAGAGTTCTTCTTTCCAAATCAAATGAACTTCCAGTCGCTGCTGATTTCCGGAAGAGTTGGTTAAATGTTAAATGGCATAGGTATCTCTTGGAGGCAGCGAATAAATCGCTCAAATTGTGATTACTTAATATATGGACAGCCCCTAACAAGTATATTTATAGAAGGGGCGAAACCGACCTTGTCACTGAATTGGGAGCCCCAGTCACACAAATCACACCTCGTTCGCATCACTGCCAAGAAAAAGGCCTTGCGGCAACAGCGGCCAAAGCTGCGAGGGTCACACTTTTTTTTAATGCAAAATAATGACGCTGACATCGAATCGGGCTGACTTAGGGGACGTATAATGGATAATAATGTAGAGCAAGCAGCAGCAAAGAGCCAAACAGCCGATTCCACAGCAGCGACAACAGCAGCGGGAGCACCAGGAACACCAGGAGCACCATTACAAGCAGGAACGCCCGGCGCAAACGCCTCGACCTTTTGGAAAAACAGCGGACGTCGGGTGCCCGGGCGACCCAGTCCCAAGCGGGAGCTCGAAAAGTCCGTGGGGGCTGGCGGAGCGGCCGGACGAGGCGCTGCCCCCGGACCTGGTATGGTGTCCACCTTCACCGAGTACCAGAAGTCGGTGAGCGATGCCTGGGACATGGGCGACGACGAGTTCTGCATCATCAGCAGCACGGAGGCGGCTGCGGCGGCGGCCGTTGGAGCCGGCGGTGGTAATGGCTCTGCCACCAGGATAATTTCCATCTTACTTATATACCCCGTCTTGATCCCCCACAGATGCGGCTCGCTTTTCCCGGCAAGTGTCCCAGACGGTGGCGCTCAACGTGATCGAGACGCACTCGCGGAGCAACCAGAATCACAACGCATCCCGGCCGACTAGCGAATGTGGCCCAGACTCGATCCCGGCCAGCAGGAGCTCGACGGAGGAGAGCAGGGAGGACCGCAGATCGCTGCCGGACAGCAACGAGAACAGGTGAGCGGCGCCAACTCAACTGGGAAGTCGAAAAGAAAGTTGAACCCCGGGTCTGCAGTTGTGCAAACAAGTCAGGGGTGGAGCGGGTGCGAACCCGCATTCCTCCGTGGTTACTTGGTGATGTAAGACAAAAAAGGGGGCCGTAAAAAGCAGTAAAAGCTCTTTAAGAAATATTTAGGAACTTTTTGAAAACCCCTTTGAAGGGATTTCAAGTCATAATTGGATATAGTTTAACTAATTAAAGTGTTATAAGCTAAAAAGGCGGGTAATGTTAAAAAAACGTTGAAGAAAGGGATTTAGAAACGGTTTTTTAGTAACTAAATTTAGTTACAAGTTAATACTATACGGGGTGACCCAGATATCTCTTTAAACCACAGACATTTGAAATTACTACAGTGAATTTCCAAACGAAACAGGGTTGAAAAAGATTTCTATTTTAAATCGTTGTTCCAGGTCTTCATTGTTAACCCCTTTGTTTTAACAAGTGTTAACCGCATTACTTTCGTACCGCTCCTGAAGCATTTTACTTCCTTAACTGATAGCCACTCCCCAGCCCTTCCCTCAGTGCCATGTCAACAGACGCAGAACCAAGACCGCAAGCAAGCAAGCCCCCGACGGTTAGTAATCGAGGTTGTATTTACAGATCGCGACTGAGGAACTATCCGGGAAGGCCGCAACTGCAGAAGATCAGCTCGAACTGCCAGGACAGCGAGTACGAGACGAAAATTGAAAAGTTCCAGGTGGTGCTAGATTCGCCTCAGCTGGATTTGGTGGCGCTCAAAAAGATAAGTTGGTCAGGAGTCCCTAGAAAGGTGAGAATCGTACGATTTATCCTTATCTGGTCATCATGTTAATAAAAATCCCTTCACAGATGCGCGCTGTTAGCTGGCGACTCCTTTCGAAATACCTGCCGCCTTCGAGCGAACGGAGAATGGCGGTGCTGGAGAGCAAGCGACAGGGCTATCAGGACCTCAGGCACAACTACTTCCGCGTGGATAGCCAGGATGAGACGCAGCAGGACACGTACCGCCAGATCCACATCGATGTGCCACGCATGAATCCGCAGATTCCGCTCTTCCAGCAGCAGCTCGTCCAGGAGATGTTCGAGCGCATCCTCTTCATCTGGGCCATCCGCCATCCTGCCTCCGGCTACGTGCAGGGCATCAACGACCTGGTCACGCCCTTCTTCATCGTCTTTCTGCAGGAGGCCCTGACGCCGAACACGGATCTCGAAAAGTACGACATGTCCGCGCTGCCCGAGGAGACGCGAAACATCATCGAGGCGGACTCCTTTTGGTGCCTATCCAAGTTTCTCGACTGCATCCAGGATAACTACATCTTCGCCCAGCTGGGCATACAGGAGAAGGTTAACCAACTCAAGGATCTGATACAACGCATTGACGGTGAGTGTGGTAATCTTACATTAAATGTGAAGAAACACAGATAGGATATGTTGATCTTGTGATAAGATAAATGTGAAGGTTTTGGGCTTTTGTAAACAAATAAAAGACTCATAAAAGGTAAGCCTTTTTGTTGTCTCCGATTGTCTTGTCAAAATAGCTGAAGATGCAATAAAATTATACAAATTTGCACTTCCCGTTTGAGTCAAGTAAATGTTGATATAATCTTGCATATTTGACAACATTTGCATTTCCAATTATTTTATGCACTGGCAGGTACTGACAATATTATGACCGCAAGTGTTCAAAACTCATAAGAAAGATTACTAGATAAAGACAAACAATTACCCTTCAACCCATAATTACCGAATAATGATAATTATATTTAATTGGCGTTTTCAGTGAATTTACACCGTCATCTACAGGCGCACGGCGTCGACTACTTGCAATTCTCATTTCGCTGGATGAACAATCTGCTGACACGCGAACTGCCGCTGCACTGCACCATCCGGCTGTGGGACACATATCTGGCGGAGTCCGACGGCTTCGCCCTGTTCCATTTGTACGTGTGCGCGGCCTTCCTGCTGCACTGGAAGGAGCAGCTGATGCAACAGAACGATTTTCAGGTAGGTCGCTTATACGATTCCCTTCCTCAAACGATGACTAATTAGGGATACAAATACAGGGTCTCATGTTGCTGCTACAAAATCTGCCAACACACAACTGGTCCGATCGCCAAATCAACGTTCTGCTGGCCGAGGCATTCCGCCTGAAGTTCACGTATGCGGATGCGCCGAAGCATCTGGAGACGAAGAGTTGACAAAAGCAACACAAACAACGCATATACGTAACTTAGAAGTTAGTTTAATACGATTTGCGGAATATACCTACACAATACACGTACGCTACATACATCTAATAATTATATACAATTTGTTATTTAGACGTTCCTCTCCGTTTGTTTTCATTTCTTTGACGTATTTCGTTTTGTATTTATCAGCAATCCGTACTAAAGTTCTGCGCTTCTTGTACATACGAATCAAAATTCAAAATACAATTTTACACGTTCAACGGGTCGAGCAGTTTTCAATTGAAATTTGTCTTTTATAAAAACAAATCGAATCAAAAGTAAATGATAACTAACAACTTTTTCCATGTGAAAACTCAAATTAGCCTAAATAATAAAGATGGAAAAGCTATTGAGTTGGGGGTTATACAATTACAATAGTGGGAATTCTTGGGCGAAATCTAAATTAAATTCTTCAAGCACATTTTTACTGCAGGCTATAATTGTTTCTAACTAACAGCCTTCTAGTCCTAGTTCTGTCGATCAGCAATGTGCTTCAGCTGCTTGAGCACCGTTTCCAACAACTTCTTCTTGTCGTTCTTTCGCACCAGCGAGAAAATGGGCTTCTTATCCGCCTCGCGGATCTTCTCCAGTATCACAATAATCGACTGCGGCTGCACCAGATGGTAGCGGTTCTCCTGCTTTCCATAGTCATGGAAATACGTGCTCCACTCCTCGAGGATGAGCAAGTCCAGCAGCTGTCGATTGCGCAGGAAGTACTTGCTCAGTTCTCCTTCCTTTAGACCAGGAACAGGTTCCGAAGCCGCAAAGAATTCGCACTGCATTAGATCGAGGTTGATTTGTGTTAGCGCACCGGTTGAAATCTGTTTAACATCCTCGTCGTACATAATCGAGTAGATCTTTTCGGCAATGTGCTCAAAGGTCCGTCGGCAGGCCGCCTGTGCGATGTGGGGTAGCTTGAAGGCAAAGTTGTCGAAGGTGCTCTTCAGGTACGAAATCATGTCCGTAATGAAGGCGGAGGCAATGCCCGGAGGTTCAACCAGCAGCCAATCGTATGCACTGAGCTCGAAGAACTCGTCGATTTTCGAGCAAATGCGCAGGCCCACTTGTTTCTCGGCATCCTGTCGAGCCACATGGAACATGGCCGATGGAGTCTGCGACACACTCCTCTCCGTGTTCGTCATGTGGCAGACGAATTCATCCAGGAACGGGCCCGCCTTCTCCAAGTACTGCGTGTCGATGATGATCTGAATGAGCTGCGTCAGCGTAATGCTCGGCTGACGAAACACCACCGAAAGGCAGCCACTGAAGCTCCTGGTTAGCAGAAGGTTGGCCGCCTTGCGCACCATGGCGGCCACTTCGTTGGGCGAAAGGGTCAGCTCCTCGGCGAACTTCATGCAGGCGTACATGAACTCCTTGGCCTGGTGATAGACCTCTGGCACCATGCGCGAGAAGGGGAACTTCTTGGGAAACGGCGCATTCTCCAGCTGTTCCGAGTGGAAGGGAAATCGCTCGATGATGCCTTCATATTCCTCCACGCTCTGCACAACCATGGGCAGGAATTGCTCCTTGTCAAGGATCTCGCGGAAAACGTGCACCCAACGTTGCAGTAAAACCTGTCAATAAAAGGAGTAATAAGTACCAAAGAAATCAGTAAGCAATAAGCAACGACCAAATACGGTTTTGTGCATTGATAAACGTAAAAACTATAATGGATTTGGTTTTCCCGAATATGTGTCCATTAAAGCAATTGTTAGTGGGTGAATCATCGAGTGTTTCCTTATTTTATATTTTAAAAAATATAGAATTCAAAAAAATGTTATCAGTTATACTAGCAGTTACAGTTTTTTTGACTAGCGCACTTTTGAAGTCAAAGACACATCGTGTTAAAAACACATTGTGTAAAAAACACGTTGGGTTCAAAACATATTAAACACACATGTCAACAATTTTTCATGTTTTTAACATGTGTGTCAAATTTCGAACCCTGAGGAGTATGCGTAAATTTAAATACCAAACATTTTTCCCAGCACTCACCTCGTTATAATGATCCCTCATATTATGCAGCAGTTCCCAAAGGATGCTCACTGTGTAACCATAACACTTAAAAGTATTGATGGACAGCATAATCAGGTTCTTGATGCGCAGCAGAATATTGGGATCGGTGCAGGACGAAGAGCTCATGCTGATCTCGTTAACAAACTTGGTCAGCGAGCTGGACCACAGATCCTCCAGATAGCTGCTGGTCACCACATCGCCCGCCGTATTCTTCACATGATCCTCGACCACAAAGAAGCCGACGATGGCGCAAATGTAGGTCTTGTAGGCCTCCAGATTATCGTGCATATTGGGCGGCGGCTGGAGCACCAGTTTGGCCTGATCCCTGCGCTGCTGGCGGTAGTCCTTCTCGAAGTACTCGCGCTGCCCCAGCACCATGTAGATGTGCAGGCAGCGGTAGATGGGCGAGAAGTCTATGAGGTCCTGGGCACTAACATTGGCCCCATCATCATCCCCGCCAGCACCTGCTCCGCCCGCACCGCCGCCTCCGTTCACCTGCTGCATATGCTCGGCTATGATGGCGTTGATGTCCCGCTTCTGCAGCTGTTTGGTGTGCGTGATGGCCAGCTCCCCGATGCGCGGCGAAAACTTGCGGATGTTCTCCAGGAACTCGCGAAAGTCCGAGGCGGAGGAGCGACGAATGTTCTCCTTGATGATGGGTATCTGTATCTGCATCTGGGTGGCGAAGCGGTAGTTGTGCGTCTTGAGTCGATTAAGGTGCTCCGTTTCCAGGGTCTCCAGCGTCCGCAGCGCCTGGTAGTACTGCTTGTTCTTGGCCTGCTGCGTGAACTTCATGTAGCACTCGAGGGCTGGGAGACACGATTTGAGGGCCTCGATGGCACTGGCCAGATTGGATTCGATTTGGCGGGCCCGCACCAAATCGTTGCCCTGCTGAATCAGGGAGGCGCTAATCTGGCGCAGCGAGGTGTCCAGCGAGTGCACCTCGTTGTGCAGCTGCTGCGCCTGGGTGCGCACCTGCAGCAGCTCCTGGATGGAGTCGATGAAGCCCTGGTAGTACAGGTTGCAGATCCGCTCGATCTCCTTGTCATGACTGCGAATCCGCTGCTCCAGCTGATCGCCAATCTGCTTGGTGTTGTTGCCTGGCCGTGGACAAAACGAAATGGGCGTAAACAAAGTTGGGGGAAAGGGCTTTAATCATCAGTTACCTTCTAGAATCGAACGGAATGTGGGTCCCCAGTAGTCATCCACCGCCTCTATGTCTTGCACGGTCACCTTGGACATCTTAAGACCCTCTTTTTGGCGACTTTTACACGAATTTCCTCCGGAGTTCAAAATTACAATCTTGATTTAGTAGGACCGCAGGCGGAATGCGCGAAAAGGGCGAACGCGATGGGAAACTCAACACAGCGAAGTCAACTCACCACACCAAGTCTGCGGATTTCATTTGCTAATCATTTAGGGGATTCCTTAGCTGTTGATCTCGGTCAGCTGTTTATCTGCAGTTTCATACAAATTTAATTTTCAGAAATTCCAGCAATTCTCAACCTCAAGGCTTTGAAAAGCAGTCACTTTATTTTGTATGAAAACCAGTGCAACCTCTGGGTTCCCTAAACTGTTGAGTTGTTGAATTTTGGTCAGCTGTTAATCAGCTGTTCCAAAAAAAGTCAGCTTTCTGAAATTTCAGCAATTCAACAGTTTAGGGAATACCCTAATTATTTTATAAAAGATTTTACACTTATATTCGTAATACGTTTCTTTGATGAATTTCATGCTAGACTTTTCTAAAACTGTGCTGAAACTCTCTTTTTCCTTTTAAACCTTTTGAAACCATCAGTTTATAGGGGGACGGATTTGGCGCCCTAGTGATACACTTTTCAAATAAATAACCCCCCACACCAAGAGGCACGTTCAAGCAACAGGTTGTCATGCAAGTCTGACCGTTGCAGGCCGCCTGCCGTCAGCTGTTGCTTTTTCAACTTTCACTTCGGCTGGCGGTTTTTGGAGCACTCCGCTTCTTGAGAGGGCCAAAAGTTGTCGGGGGAGTTGAAGTCGCGTTGCCACAGTTATGTTGCAGTAAAACCCGTACACGCACGCAATCACGGCAGAAGTTAACACCCAAAATCCATACATAATGGCCGCCCTACGGAGTCGCCCCAATGGAACGCTTGAAGTGGAGAAGGAAGCTCAAGTCACCAGCCACAACAATAACAAGCCGGAAAAGGAACTAACCAAGAATGGAAAGACGGAGAAAAGTGACCCCATGATATACATCATTTTCGTCTCACTGCTCTTCGATCTGCTGGCCTTCACCATCATTCTGCCACTCTTACCCTCGTTACTGGAATATTACCGTCTTAACGATAGTTCCGGCCTATATGCCGTGCTCACGGATCGGGTGCGTTGGTTCCAGCAGCTCCTTGGCGCCCCGGAAAGGTATATATCGGTGCTATTCGGTGGCTTCCTCGGCTCCATGTTCAGTTTCCTTCAGTTCGTGGCTAGTCCAATTGTCGGGGGACTCTCGGATTACTATGGTCGGAAACCAGTCCTCTTGGTTTGTGCGGTAAGTAATATCAAATAAAAACACCTCTTAACGAGGTAAAGAACTAGTGACGATCGCGCCTTCAACATACAAAAGTTCTGATATCAACATTTGTGACGAAAAATTATTACACTTGTCATTAAATAGACTTTCTAATATTTTCTCATTCGGCACGCTGCAATAGAAAATGCCTGTGAAGGGAAAAAGGCTGGAATAGTTTGATAGGGCGGGCCGAATGAGAAAATACTAGAAAGTCTATTTAATGACAAGTGTAATAATTTTTCGTCACAAATGTTGATATCAGAACTTTTGTATGTTGAAGGCGCGATCGTCACTAGTTTTTTACCTCGTTAAGAGGTGTTTTTATTTGATATCAGAAGTTTTTGTTTGTTTACATTTGCTCTCATAGGAGCTAATATATACATTTAAATTTAAATTGGTAAGCCATTGTATTAAACGAATTAAGTTAAAAAGGCGATGAAGTATATCAAAATACCTTTTAAACGAGTTATAGCACATGGGTGTACCTTTAGTAGTGTAGAACTTACAAACTAACGAAATTGAGCTATTTTTAGCTTTTTTCCCGCTAAAGTAGCGGCTTTTTCCAAAAGTCGTAGAACAAAAGATTCCTATATGGAACTCTTAAGTGCAAATTTACTGATTCCATGACCCTAAAATACAGTTCGTATACCCTCACACAAAATTCAATACTAAGGGAGTGTTAGTTGCTCGAGCTGGCAAAAGTGGCTATTTTCGTATAAAAATAACTTTTAAACGTGACTTTTTACAGTAATGTGTTATATACCAAAATTTAAGGAATCTCAAGGGCTATATATTTTAAAGTTGTAAGGAAAATCGTTAGAGCCGTTTTTGAGAAAATTAAAAAAAAGCTAAAAAAAAGTTTAAACAAATTTTCTTTTGTTCATATCTTTTTAACTATTACATTTACACAAATTGCATATAGAAGGCGTTTATAGCATTTAAAAATACCTTTCAAACGAGATGCAGCACAAGTCTGTAGCTTTAGTAGTATAGAAGTTACGGCTTTCCGAATTTTAGCTATTTATAGCTGTTTTCCCGCTAAACTAGCGGGTTTTTCCAAAAGTGGTAGAACAAAAGTTTTTTATATCGATGTGATGAACGTCATATCAAATTTTCAAAACTTAAAAAACATGTTTTGGACAAACTGACAAACTGACAAACTGACAAACAGAATTAAATTTTCATTTTGGGAAGACGAAGAAAATCTTATTTTGGCTATAACTTTAGAACGGAGCGTCGGATTTTGACAAATGACCCCTCATTCGACGGGTATTTTCAAAAGGAATACAACTAAAACATTGCGAGGGGGCATTTATCCCCACCGGCCCCAACAGCTCCAAATTTCGAAATTTTCACTTTTTCACTTTCACCGCTCTATCTCCCAAGCCAATTGATTTTCTTAGAGTCTTGGTATGCAATCCTGTTAGTTTTCGCAATACCTTTTGATAGGTGTATCATTCATTATGATCGGACCATCACAGTAGATTTTCATTTCTTCGTGTATATATAGTAGTCGCCTTCGCACACTCTCCTGGTGCGCTTCGTCACTACATGGACTGCCGTCCATAGTGATAGTCGCCTTCGCACACTCTCCTGGTGCGCTTCGTCACTACATGGACTGCCGTCCATAGTGATTATAGCTTTTAATAGTTTAATTTAAACCACTTTGATTGTCTTTAAAAAAGAGGTACATTATATTTATAATTATTCGTAATTATGTTCTAACTTATAAACATTTGTAGCCCAAAACCAAGTACAAATCCTTTTGAATGTGTTATCATATATGGTCTTATCCAAAAACACCAGAGAACCTTGAAGCGGATATTATTTATTTTCGTATTTTAAGTTATACTACACTCAAATTAAATTTAACCCTAAATTTTAGAAAATCGCCAAAGAAATTTATTTTTTCTAAATACATGAAAGTTATTTTGTAATGTAGAAAATGGTTACTGTGAACTAAAATCACTCTAAAAACAAGAAAGGAAGCTAGCTTCGGCA